CATATATTACTAGAATCTAATAAGCATATAACCTGTAATTGTCTGCTCTCTGTCTCCTAATAAAGCTTGACTGTAAAAGGTGAAATTGCACACACACACAAAAAGATCACTTAAGAGACATAGTATTTCCATCCATTCTATGTGTGAAAAATTTTATCCCTGCATCAAGGTGGATCATCACAAAAACTAGGTCTGAACTACATTAGCTTGGTCTATTACAGAACTTCATTCACTTTCTTTCCTTTTTTTTTTTTTTTTTTTTTTGAGTAGTTTCGCTCTGTTGCCCTGGCTAGATTGCAGTGGCACAATTTCGAAACCTCCATCTCCCAGATTCAAGCGATTCTCATGCCTCAGCCTCCTGAGTAGCTGGGATTACAGGTGTGTGCCACCACACCCAGCTAATTTTTGTATTTTTAGTAGAGATGGGGTTTCATCATGTTGGCTAGACTGGTCTTGAACTCCTGACTTCAGATGATCTACCCACCTCAGCCTCCCAAAGTTCTGGAATTACAAGTGTGAGCCACTGTGCCCGGCCACTTGGTTCACTTTCTAACAGTTAATGTTCTGCATGCTTAGCTTCGATTGCTTAAAAAAACTTTACTATGTAAAATATACTAATGCATTTGCTATAAAATTACTAAAAACATTGTCCATTATATAATGCAACTTCCTACACTGTCTACAGAAGCCAAATATGTATCATAAATGAGTGAAGCAGACTAAAAAAATCCACTGCCAGATAAGTAATTAAACTTTATCATTAACTGAGTGATGGTAGAAGCACATTAACACATGGTATGAACAGGTAAGAAAAGAGAAGCTATCTTTTAAATTTGAAATCTAAAAATATAAATAATTTATCAAATTTTACTTTGAAATTGATTACTTTGTTGACTTGTAAATAGAAACCTAAAATTCTTTCTTCTATACTAACATATCAATGTCCATATGGGCTGATAGGGAGAAGTAGATACTTAAGTGGAAATTTGTGTACTGTATCAAGAAGACAGTGGAATGAATAAAATGATGGATGGCCAAAAGCAGCAAATGTCTACTGCATACTGATATTTTAAAGTTGTCTAATTATGATTGAGTACCGCACTACAATGCAGCTCGATTTCTTCAATTCGTAGTTCTTTATTGATATTAGTAAAATTAATTGAAAAAGACAAAATAGGCAATATTTTTCATTACCATAATGCTGGAAATCAGAAATCTTAGAATTCACTCTTTAAACCTACAATTGTGAATATGTAGGTTAAGTAATCACTTCCACCTCTGAACACCAATTTCAGCACAGAAAAGTAAGCCATATTACTCCTTGTCAAAAGCGTTTCCCATAAATGACTTCACTAAGAACACATGAATTAAATTTTACATCTGTGTAACTACTTATGTGCACTTTTGCAAAGAAAGATTCAGAGTGTCTATATGAATTGTCTTATTCACTAAAAAGGTCAATCATTGAAATGAGTCAGGGATTTTCCCTTGGATGACATGAACAAGTTGAATTCTTTCAACAGTTCAAAAATATCTCTTCAGCACCATTTAGGTGCACTACATCCCCAAAAACTCCTCTTCAGAACTGAAGTGTTTATTCCCCAGTTGCTCTTTGGGAATTCCCTAGGCTGAAAAAAGCTACCACACCGAAGATTATGCTCTTTTCCCAGGGTAAATGGAATACAGAGACTAGTCAACATCGGGATATAAGGACCAGCCCTGTGACCTTAGCTGAGGACAATTCTGAGGGACCATCTCAGCTTCAGAGCTCCCAATAAGTAAGGCTGAGTCCTTCTGACTATACCTAGGCCAACTTCTCACATAAGTCCAGTTGCATCCCCATCCCCTCACAGGTGCTGATCCTGAAAGAACCCTTTAATAAATTATCTTCATGTTAACTCCCACCTCAAAATTTGCTTCCAGGGCAACCCAACCTGTGACACACATCACATACAACTGAGCCCCCTTATCTACAAGAAGCAGAAGCAGCTACTGTATTGTGCATCAAATTCATCCAAAAATAAAAAAGCAATGATCTCTATTGAAGCCACAGAAGAATATCTGGTATACATGTATTCTTACTATATACATGTTTCATTTTTTAGCTTTTTAGGACAGTGTTCCCTGGTGAATTATACAATTAATACACTGAAGTTTTCTAACTTTAAAAACACTGCTGCCTTGGATTTAAGTTTCATATCGAGTCTTATGTTAACATTAATCATTGCATCATTCTGTAGTCATACTTATTTTGACCAGTCTAACATTAAACTTAAGACACAGGTGCTATGTTCAAAAGTTCTATCATATCAAAGTTCTCTTTGACACCACAAATAAATATGCTTAACTGGGCGTTATTATTTATGTCTATGCAACAGAAAACACCAAAAATAAATTACCCGCTTCAAGTAACTTCTCCAATAAATTCTCAGCCATACCTTCAATGTGCCAAACAACAGCATTTCTGGTTAGACTTGGATTTGAAACTTAAGAATACATTGTGTAACTCAATCAGTAGACACTTTTTTGTAAACTTGTCATCTGTAAAAGAGCTATTGCCTGGGCAATCTTTTCCCTTAGTATATAACTACATAACTGCATTTTACAACAGGAACACTTGTTTTATTCACTTTCCAAAATAAACCCAGTTGAAATTTCAGTTCTTTTCTTGAATTGATTGTTTTTCATTACACAGATTTTCTATGTACTGGTTGTAGTTTCTACTATACTTTCTTTCATTATGGACTCTTGGGTTGTATTCATTGATGCAAACACACTTTGCATATTAAACACACAATAATTTATTACTTCTATCAGAGAGGAATTTATTGTTTCCACTTTCTTACCAAATCTTCTCAGCCTAGCTTTCGTTTTACTTTGGATAGAGATGTGGGTGCCATATTTTATTTTCCTCTTAGATATGCTATAGTAACAACACAGCTTGAAGATATAGGATATAGTACAAGATATAGGAAAAAATAAGGAATTCTGGGGACTATGACAAACTGGATAACACATACCCTATGGATAAAGGTGGCAACTGCTACTCAGCTCCAACCAATCGTTGCTTGTGGAAATACTGGCCAATTGTTTCCAGATTTTAACTTTTTCAAGAGAAATAAAAAAAAAAAAACATATTTTTGTGTGAAATTTCCTGATTGTTAAATGTTGGCCACTAATTCAACTATATGCAACACAACTCTGGCCATATCCAGCCCATAGTACAGCAGTCTGTAAACTTTTTCTTGTGACTAATTGCTTTAGAATGTAGTATTGAAGGGGAAGTTTTTCAGTCTTTATGTATTCCTTCTACTACAGTAGTAAAAAGTGTAAGCTCTGTAAATATATTTAAATTCCAGCTCTGCTCCTTCCTGGCTATGAAATTGTGGGCACATTACTTTTTCTATCTAACCCTCATTTTTCTCACCTGAAAAATGAGGTTACTCAAACAAATTACCTTAGAGTATTTCATAATTTATAATGCAAAGAACTTAAAATAGTGCCTAGTACAAAGCAAGAATCAGTAAATGTTAGCTTTTGTTATTTAATAATGAAAATTGTATAAAATATCATATTGCCCCTTTTCCCTGGCTGCAAGAAAGCTTACAGTTAAATTTAATGCTCTACCACAGCGACTGTATTAGCCATTGTGTTTGGCATGTTTGCTTCCTCCTTTTCAGGGTTTTGATATTCTATTTTAATTTTCAAAGCTTTATTATACAATTGAATATAAGAAGCTTCAAATTCTTTTTGGAAGAAGAAAGGGTATAAACAACCAAAACTTTAAAAAATAAAAATTAAGTTACATGAAATTTTTGTGAACAAGATGAAGGTAATAAGCCATCTGGCTATATAATTGGGTGGATTTATAACAGGTTCAATGACTGTACCCTAAATAGCATCAATTAATCGATTGATGTTAACTTGGAGATTAATCTAGGCTGCCACAAAAGTTCTGGCCTCAGTTTTCCCCTGTTTATCGAATTATCTGGAATTAGAAAACTATGGCCTACAATCCAGCTACTTGTTTTTATGAATAAAGTTTTATTGGAATAAAGCCACACATATTTTTTTATGATTAGTCTTTGGCTGCTTTTCCACTACAACAGCAGAGTTGACTGGTTGTGACAAAGACTGTGTGGCCCACAAGCCCAAAATGTATACTTATATCTCACCCTGTAAGAAAAAGTTTGCAGACCCCTGAATTAGATGAAGACAGGTGGCAATACCAAATTTCAAGATGACACAGACTGGGAGGATTAGTTAATACATTGCATGACAGAACTGAAATTCACAAAGATCAGAATAACTGAAAAAACAGACTGTAACAATCAGGCTGAAATTTAATAGTTTATAAAGTATGGTAAATGGGTACTTAACCATAATGGAGGATATCAGGCATTAAGAGCAATTGATATTGTAAAGATAGAGTTTCATAAGTCCACGAAACTGACCATGTGATGTAGCTGACAGAAAAGAGCTAATTTAAATGTTGTCTGCATTAAAAGAAATACAGAGTCTAAAACAGTGCTGCCCAATAGAACTCCCCTGTGATAATGGAAATTTTTTTTAACCTGTAATGTCAAATAACGTAGCCTATTAGCTACATGTGGCTATTGGGATTTGATACTTGGCTAGTGTGAAGGAGGGACTAAATTTTTTTAAAAAAATTTTGAGACAGTCCTGCTTTGTTGACCATGCTGCAATGCAGTGGCACTATCATAGTTCACTGTAACCTTGAACTGCTGGGCTCAACTGATCCGCCCACCTCAGCCTCCTGAGTAGCTACAACTACAGGCATATGCCACCAGACCAGCTAATTTTTTACAAAATATTTTGTAGACATGGGGTCTTGCTACATTGCCCAGGTTGTTCTCAAGCTCCTAGGATCAAGGGATCCTCCCCCCTCAGCCTCTCAAAATGCTGGGATTCTAGGTGTGAGCCACTGGTGCCCAGCCAAAAACTGTCAGTCTTTAGAGAAAGGGAAATCAATTCTGTACCTTTCATGATCCATCAGCAGTTTAGCAATGTTCAGACAGAAGTCTAAGGGCACGTCAAGATGTAGTATTTCCATGACAGCTAACAAGATAAAAAAATGAAATAATTATTATCAGTTTCGTTTCTGAGGAAGCTAAGCTATTTTCAGTAATTTTCCTCTATTCAGAATCCACTTACTAAATGTTTGCCAAATACCATGTTTTGCCTAACAATTTATCAAAATCTTCTTTTAAAGTATTAACATCCAGTGCTGGAGAGTGTCATGACACAGGCACTCTTGCACGGATAGCAAAGTAATCTGGTGCAATCCTTTCAAAAAGAAACTTGGCAATACTACATGCTAAGAACATTGGGGTAGAGAGTTTGGTATCTGAAGTCAGACAGATCTAAATTTAAAACCACTTGCTACTTGTATGGCCATAGGCAAGTTAAGCTCTCTATACCTTAGTTTTGTCACCTGTAAAATGGAGAACATACCACCAATTTCTCAGGGTTGTGGAGAGTATTACATGAGATTATGCATGAAAAGTATATAGCAAAAAACCCAGCATTTAATAAATAACAGGTGCTATTATTATTATTCCCTTTAAGAAATTGTGCTTCTGAAAAGTCACCTGGAATAAATATGGGGAAAATTTATTAACAAAAATATTAAAAGCAGTGTGAATTATAATAATAATAGAAAAGAAATATACACTGTATGTCTATTGTAGAATAGCAATAAACTATTGTGCAACCATTAAAACTGTTGAATATGAAATAACATGGAAAAAATGAATACAGACTAATATGAAAAATATGTTAAGATTAGTAAGTGAAAAACTGGAGCAAAGTTTTATGTACTATATAGTCACAATTCTGTAATACAAGCAAAGTAAAGTAAGATAGAAAGTATACTGAAAATAAGTGATCAATTTTCTAAAAGTGATTGTGTTTAGATTCTATTTATTTGAAAAATATTTAATGAGCATATGCTCTGTGCCAGGCACTGTGCTTCGTGCTGAGAACCCAGCAGTGGATAAAACAAAACTAAAATTCCTGCTGTCAAGGAGCTTCTAGTGGATGGTAGGACTATGGGTGTTTTTAATATTTTACAAAAATGTCTTAAATTACTATGTGCTATCCTTTAATAATAAAAAATGTTTATTTTTAAATTTGAATCATTCTCCTACAAAAAATATCAGTGCAATAATGCCAGCAGTTAGGTTGAGTTGAATTTTTTTTTTTGGAGACAGTTTTGCCCTGTCACCCAGGCTGGAGTATGGTGGCGTGATCTCAGCTCACTGCAACCTCAGCCTCCCAGGTTCAAGTGATTTTCTGCCTCAGCCTCCTGAGTAGCTGAAACTACTGAAATGCATCACCATGCCTGACTAATTTTTTTTTATTTTTAGTAGAGACGGGGTTTCACCATGTTGACCAGGCTGGTCTTGAACTCCTGACCTCATTCATAATCCACCCTCCTTAGACTCCCAAAGTGCTGGGATTACAGGTGTGAGCCATAGGTTGACCATTTTAAGAGTAAAGTATTTTCACCAGCAAAGCAATGAACAGAATATAAAAATGCTAGTTTCATACATTCTTTCAGTGCAACAAAGCAAAAATCTAGTATTTTTAAATCTAAAAAACTTGGATTTGGATTAGCCTCCTAATCTGTAATCAAACTACGACTGACATTGCAACTGCAGGAGTATCTAGATTGAGTTAAGTATAAACAATCTGGAAATAAAGAATAATTTCATTTTAAACTCTACTTCTTAACTACATTTGGATAAACACTGTCATGAGGAATTATCTTCCAAAACTAATCTACTTCAACTTGGTAACTCCAATAATCTCTCTGGTCTTCCTATGTTGTCTTAGATTGAGTAATGTATTCTTTGGTTTGCTTATTCCCCTAATGCAAAAAGTAGAGTTGTCTTCCTGGTTTGTAATATTTTTGAACCTGTGAACGCCGAGGTGATACTGTTGCCTAGAGATGCAGAATCCCCAACACATTTGAGCTTCTGTGGTCTCTTTAAGTGATTGGCTAAAAATCTAGAAGCAACTGAGTCAGTAGTACTAAATTTAGGTCTATTGCCAAATCGAATTATATTCCTAATTATAACAACTTGTTATTATTTATTGGATAATCAGTAACTATACTAACATATAATTTTGTTTAGTACAAATAATGCAGCTCTTAAAGATTACTAAAAAGAATGTACAACATTAAAAGAATTTTAGAGTAAATAATTTTTATGACTAAAAAAATCTCAAATATCAAGGGTTAGTGTGCAAAGTTTTGCCTCATGTAATGCATCCATATAGTAGTATTAACAGTAACAATGATAATAACTACAGTAATAGGTAGCATATATTGCACACTATGCACCAGGTATGGTGCTAAAAGCTTTATACACATTTTCTCATAAGACTCTCAAAACAACACGATGAGGTAGATAATAATATCTCTTTTGCTAAATGAAGAAACAAAGCAAAGTTAAGTGACTTGCCCAATTACCCACTTTTGTGCAGTGTACATTCTGGTCCTTGGAGAATTATGATAAATAAATAGCAATGTTTATAAACAAGTAATCATCACAAAAAACACAGCATTACAAAGGTTTTTCCCATTAATAATTAGTCTTTCTTCATGGTGGTAAACAACTTCAGAAGGGTTGGGTAGCTACAGTTCTCTGCTGGGCTAAAAGAAAACTGATTGCTTTTATTCAGCTTTTCTTTTTTAAAAAAAAAACAAAACACCTTTTAAAATTTGCTACCATTTTTTCTTCTTTCTCTCTTTCTTCCTGGATGACAATATTTTCCCTTTCCTAGGTGATCAGTTTTTTTCTCAGCTACCATTAAATTACACCTATTGTTAGTATACTACCAAAGTTCTTATATTTAAAAAATTTTAGTGATGTTTCAAAATGGTGTGCTCTTCACACATAGAGATCATACCGTCAAGGAGTTCTTCATTAGATGTTTCGCCTCTCAAGAGGATTTTCATTTTTAAGAAAAGCCCAGTAGAATTTAAATGTTCCTATTTTAAACAAAGAAATCACAATGATATTAAAATTATGGAATGTAAAAGACAATTTTCAAGTAATTGCTAGCTTTATTAAACCACCTTAAGATAACTCATAATCAAAGAAAATCAAAATTATAAAAGATTATATCATAACATCCATTCTATCCCTGAGGATAGTTCCCAATATTTTATTCAATCTAAATGAAATAATATATGAAAAAGAATATGTAAATATTTCCAATGAGTGACAAACATTCAATGACAAGATCAATACTTAAACTTTATAAATCTCAGGCCATGTTCTTTGTAAGCAAAACCACAAAGCAGTTAATTTTGTTTTCTTTTGAGATTGTTTAAGCCACCCAGTCTATAGTATTTTGTTATAACAGCTCAACCTAGCCAACACAATTTAGTTTTGTCTACATTTAAACTTCACTTTAAAAGAGTCATAATGCATATAAGTTCTTCTGTGACTTATCAGATATGTTCTTCTGTGACTTCGATTCAAATCATGTTTTTTTCAGATTCATCCATACTGATACATGAAATTTATTTGTTTTCATTACTATACAGCATGGTTCACAAAAGGTGGTCCCTGAATCAGCACCATCTGGGAACTTGTTAGAAATGCAAACCTCATCCAAAACCTACTAAAGGAGAAACTCTGGGAGTATTGCCTAGCAAATGGTATGTGGCATGTGTGTAAAAAAATGTGTAAAATACGGGGTACAAAGTGGCTCCCGCCGGAGGTCATGGCGCTCGCGAAGGCGAGGTCATCAGTTCAAGGCTAACCTGAGCAACCTCATAAGCTCAAACTGATTGGCAAAAAAAAAAAAAAAAAAAATGTGTAAAATAATTATTATTGATTTGCATTACAGAAAGTTTCCAGTTCAACATGAATTCTATTATCTGTTTAGTAAGGTAATAAATGAGCAAACTGTGTTTAACAGACACTCTAGGTAATACTTACACAAGCTAAAGTTTGAGAACAACTATTGTATAGTATTCTGTTATATAACTAAATTACAATTTATTTGCACATTATATTTTGGACATTTGAGCTGTTTTCAACCCAATTGCTATTATGAACAATCCTGCAATCAGCATTCTGTACACCTCTCCTTGTATACAAATGCTAGAGCTTCTCTAAAGTATATACCTAGGAGTGAAGTTGTTGGGTGGTTTGGTATGATCAAATTCTACTTTATCAAATAACGTCAAATTTGTTTTCAAAGTGGTTGTACAATTCTTTAAAAACTAGGAGTGAAGGGAGCTTCCTCAACCTGACAAAGGGCATCTATGCTAAACCGATAGCTAACACCATAATTAATGGCAAAATACTGAAAGCTCGCTTTCTAAGATTAGAAAAACAAATTGCTCTTGCCAATTCTATTTAACATAGTAATAAATGTTCTTGCTACAATAATTAGAAAAGAAAAAGAGACAAAAGGCATGCAGATTGGAAAGCAAGAAGTAAAACTATCTTTATTTACAAAAAATACAAATTTTTTTTAGACTGAGTTTGGTTCTTGTTGCCCAGGCTGGAGTGCAGTGACACAATCTTGGCTCACTGCAACCTCTCCCTTCTGGATTCCAGTGATTCTCCTGCCTCAGCCTCCCAAGTACCTGGGATTACAGGCGTGCACTATTTGTTTAATGGAAAGGAAATTTTTCTCAAAAATCTCTGGTGTTCAAAGAAGTATATTTGTTTTAGTCTGTTCATGCTGTTATACCAATATACCATAAACTAGATACTTCGCAAACAACACATATTGATTTTTCACAGTTCTGAAGGCTAGGAACTCCAACGTCAAGGTGCTCAGTGCCTTCTCATGTCCTCACATGATAAAAGGGGTGAACAAGCTCCTGTGGCCCTCTTTTATAAGAGCAGTAATGCCATTCAAGAGGGGTTTGCCCAATGACTTTATCATCTCCCAAAGTCCCAACCTCTTTTATTTTTACCTCCATTGTACACCAAAAAGTCCCCACCTCTTAATATCATCACTTTGGGGGTTAAGATTTCAATATAGGAATTTGAGGGGACACAAACATTCAGATAATAGCAATATTTTATTTTTCCTTTCTATGCTATAGAAGAGATTATAACAATCTGTGAAAGTAAATGCTGAAGCAAATGTCTAAACTGGGTTTCAAAATGTGATCAAAACTTCAAAAAACACATTAAGCTAGTATTCAAAAATAAGAGCCTCATACCTTGTTTGCTAGGTTTATAGCATTCAGAGCCTTATCATAATATTTGGCATCATCCCAATCCAAATAATTGGTGGCTAATAACCTTAAAACTTGAGCCTGTAAAAAAATTAGAAAAAAAGCAGATAGCTGATGATTAAACTTCAATAAAACAGCCAACTAGCAGTTCCAAAGTGACAGGCATCTTCTCAAACATAAGTCATCTTAATGAAATAGCATTTCCTTAAGCGACCCCATAGTTTTGGAATATGTCTCATCATTGTGCTACCCATTCAAAATATTGTCTAAGAATCTTACAGTAATAGCTACATTCCTGGCTTATTTAAATTTAATATAATTGTGTTAATATAATTATTTTCTTACCAGTGTTTAACACAAGTATTTTATCATCCTCACTTTTAAAATAAGGAAACTGAGGCAGAGCAGTATTTCATTTAATCAGTTTACCACCTCGTTATTATCGTGGAACAACTCTAAGAACTGATAAGCTCCCCCATGCAACTTTTATGGAATAAATACGGCATTTCTGAGAAATACTGTAGCTATTTCATAATAGTAAAAGAACCAAATCATCCAGAAGACATAAGAAAAGGAATGAATCTCACAATGTCTATTTTTAAAAAGCCAGACGTAAAATAGGACAACTATGACTCCATTTATGTAAAAGAACAGCCAAAATACTCTAGAGAAATAGAAGTCAGAATAGTGGCTTTTTTTCCTTAGAAGTAGAGGTGGGTATTAACTAGAATGGGGCCAAGTGAACTTTTGGGGGTATTGGAAGTTTCTGTAATCTTCATCTGTATGGTGTAATATACAAAATTATATATTAAAACTCATCAAGCTGTACACTTGAGACTTGTGCAGTTTACTGTATATAAATTACACCTCAAATAAATGATTGCTGGCATGAAATAAAAAATTACTGCATACTATTACTTCACAAAACTTACAATATGAATACTCCATTTGAATCAAGCTTGTATCCTATTTCCCATCCTTATTTCCTTCTGAGACATCTCCCATCTAGATCCCATGCCTGAAATCATTTTCTTCCTCCCTTTTAACTGTGTGGATCGCATCTACAAGGCCTGTCTCCTTTCAAAAGGAGACTACTCTAGCTAATCTTGATAATCCCCTTTTCTACATGCCTTTCTGCATACTTCAGGTCAGTACCACAAAGTTTATCATTATTTTCCCAAATTGTTTCACTTGCAGTAGTGTTTTTTAAATTCTATTTTTCTTCATTGAAGTGTAAAATACATATAGAAAAGTTCAAAAATCTCAAGAGCTCTATGCTCTTATGAATTCTATACTCTATGAATTTTCACAAAGTAAACATGTATGTTAACAACAGAAAAATCAAGAAACAGAACATTAACAGTAACAAGCTCACCTCATGCTTCTTTTCAGACTCTATTTAAAATAGGGGTAACCAATTCTCTGATGTCCAACACCATATATTCATTTTGACTGTTCTTAGCATTTACATTTATGGAATCATACAGTATGTGCTGCTTTGTATATTGCTTCATTTATTCAATATTATAGGTGAGAACATCCATATTGTTGCAATTATTGTAGTTGAGTCTCACTGTTATATAGTAAGTGACGATGTCACTATATATATATAACTTATTTTTAATTAAAGTGAAATACACATAACATAAAATTTACCATCTTTTTAAATTTTAGGCGAGGTGCAGTGGCTCATGCCTGTAATTCTAGCACCTTGAGAGGCCGAGGTGGGAGGATCACTTGAGGCCAGGTGTTTGACGCTAGCCCAGGAAACAAAATGAGACCTCCATCTCTATAAAAAATTAAAAATTGGCTAGATGTGGTGGGGTGCACCTGTAGTCCCAGCCACTCAGTAGGCTGAGGAGAAAGGATTGCTTGCGCCCAGGAATTTGAAGGTTACAGTGAGCTGATCACACCCACTGCCCTCCAGCCTGGGTGACAAGTCCCTGTCTCAAAAAAATCTGTTTTGGAGATGTAGTCATAGTTACTATGATTCCCAAATGGAAAGCAGTGGCTATTCACAGGCATGATCACAGTTCACTGCATCCTCTAACTCCTGGGTTCATGCAGTCCTCCTGGCTTAGCCTCCTGAGTAGCTGAAACTACAGGTGCACACCACCACACCTGGCTCCATGACCATTTTAAACATTTTTAACATTTATCTTGAGAACTGTCTTATCTTGCAAAACTGAAACTCTACACCCATTAAATAATAGTTCCCAATTCTCCCCTCTCTCTACCCCGTAAAACCACCATTTTACTTTCTGTCTCTATGAATTTGACTACTCTAAGTACCTCACATAGTGGAACCATACGTTATCTTTTTGTGAATGGCTTGTTTCACTTAGCATAATCTCCTCACAGTTAATCCATGTTGTAGTATGTGCCAGATTTCTTTCCTTTTAAAGCCAGGATAATATTTCATTGTATTCACTTGTACTAGTTTTATCCTTCAATCATAAGTTCCTTAAAGGCAGAAGCTACATTTTATGCCTCTCTTTTATTCCCCACATATTATCATGGTAAATATATTAAAAGGCATCCAGTTACATTTTGATTAATATGCTGTAATAGAATCAAATGGATATTCAAAAAATTTCATTTTGCTATAGAATGTAGTAATTTTACAACACATTTATTTACACAATCACATTTTGCTTGATTACATATTAAGATTAATTTCCATATCCAGGCATGTTCTGTTTGGGTAGTTGGGGAAAAATCTGCAACTTCAAAATATGCACAAAAAAAAAAAAAAAGTTAAAACTAGGCGAGGCATGGTAGCTGACTCCTGTAATCCCAGCACTTTGAAAGGCCAAGGTCGGCAGATCACCCGAGGTCAGGAGTTCCAAACCAGCCTGGCCAACATGGCAGAACCTAATCTCTGCTAAAAACACAAAAATTAGCCAGGTGTGGTGGCCCATGCCTGTAGTCCCAGCTACTTGGGAGGCTGAGGCACCAGAATCACTTGAACCTGGGAGGCAGAGGTTGCAGTGATCACACCACTGCACTTTAGCCTGGGCGACAGAGTGAGACTCTGTCAAAAAAAAAAAAAAAGAAAAAAGAAAAAAAAAAGTTAAAACTTACATAGTCAAACATTGTTCAAAGCACTCTACATATATTAATTCCTGAGTACACGCCTATGAGGTAGATAATATTATATAAATGTATAAAAACAAATGCACTGATATGTTAAATGATGTGCCCAATAGCTAATTTACTCATAAAAGGGAGTATACTATTGTAATTTTATAACAATAACATAAAGTAGGTTCTTCAACCTACTTCTACAATATTTAACATGATCCTTACCAGTGTTTCTGGATCAGTAGAATCCTTATCCATCTTCCCAATATCATAGCTTTGGCTGTCATTAAAAAGCAAATATATATAAATATATATATATATATATATATCCATTTCAAGTAATATATAATTTTTAAGATTATGTATTACTAAGAAGACATAGTATAAGCATACTTTATTTCAACTTTTCTGTTTTACACTACGACAGATTATCATCCAATTAATACATGAAAATTAATGATATAAAGCAATACTTTCAAACTATAGAAAAAAATTTCCTCAGGAGAGACCCAATAAATCAACACTACAATTATATTGATGCTCTTTTCCATTTGTACATATATATATATGGCATTAAATATATATAAAATACTGAATTAAATTATTATTATATTGCATTAAATGCTTTACAAGTATATACAAGCTCTTAGTTGGCCATTTAAAGTTAAAGAAATATAAGTATGTATTTATTTATTAATTTTTTACTTAGTTGTTTTTGAGATGGAGTCCCATTCTGTCACCCAGGCTGGAGTGCAGTGGTGTGATCTCGACTCACTGCAACCTCCATCTTCCAAGTTCAAGCGATTCTCCTGCCTCAGCCTCTCGAGTAGCTAGGATTACAGGCACCTGGCACCATGCCTGGATAATTTTGTGTGTGTGTGTGTGTGTGTGTGTGTGTGTGTGTGTGTGTGTATTTTTAATGGGGTTTCACCATGTTGGCCAAGCTGGTCTCGAACTCCTGAGCTCAAGTAATCTGCTAGCCTCAGCATCCCAAAGTGTTGGATTATAGGCATGAACCACCATGTCCAGCTCCGAAGAAACATAAATATATTTTTAAAATAAAACAAATGCAGTTGTTTTCACAGAAACAAATGCTTTAGCAATATTCATGAAGTCTCACATCACCCTTCTGAAGCACTATTAGTTCCATTTTGCGGCTGAACACACCAACATAGAAATGAAATTATTTCTGGTATTTCCTAGATTGGTACTGAAAATGAGAGTGAGGGGTTGGGGAGTAGAGAAATTTGATTTTCAGTTCTCTGCTTTAATTACCAAACCATATTATCTACGGGACATTCCAATAACCACAAATAAAATATTAATATGAGTTTCCAGGTTTCAAAACCTAATATCTACAGAGCAAATCAAAGATCACTCACCATAAAATTGGTATTCCAAAGAAGTATGTCAATAAAATCTTGGTGAATTGAACTAACTTGAAGACAATACTTTGAAATATTACTTAAAAAAAAAATTAAAAAAAAAACAACCCAACAACTCTAGGCCAGTCGCAGTGGCTCACACCTGTAATCCTAGCACTTCAGGAGGCAAAGGCAGTTGGATCACTTGAGGTCAGGAGTTCGATACCAGCTTGGCCAACATGGCGAAACCTCATCTCTATTAATAATACAAAAATTAGCCAGCATGGTGACACGTGCCTGTAATCCCAGCTACTTGGGAGACTGAGGCATGAGAATCGCTTGAACGTGGGCAGTGGAAGTTTCAGTAAGCCAAGATGGTGCCACTGCACTCCAGTCTGGGTGACAGAGTGAAACTGTGTCTCAACAAATGAATAAAAATAAAAATAAACTATAAATGACCCAGAACTATCAAACTGAGTTTTCACATTGCTAACAATGATATAACGATGGCTTGGTCATTGTCAGCCCTATTTCACAAAGGTCTCCTTTAGTACATTAACCTTATACTTCCAGTTTTTAAAATAACCAATGAGGGTGGGACTTCTGCAATGGTGATATAAGGAGCTCTTTAGACACTCTCCCCAGTGAAACAACCACTCATCTGGACAATTCATTAAAACAACCACTTAGTCTCTGAAAATTGAAATTGTCCTAAGGGCATATAGAAAATAGGAAAACATTTACTCATTTTACTGAGACTAAATCTCAGTAAAACCAGTGAAAGTCTATGGCATTTGAGCTGTAAACTGCTCCCATCTATACTGGCTCCAAGTGATGGAAGCTACTCTAGATGGGTGCAGCCAAGAAGATAGGAATTCCTTTTCCCCACAGCTCCTAAAATCCTAGGCTATGGTTTCGCCTGTGGAGAAGGCTGCCAGACTATCTTGCCATTCCCAGGCCTGTGTCATGGAACTGTTCTGGGCAAGCACGATTGAGAGGACTAGCTTCTCTTTGCCTACTCAGCTCTCACTCTTAAGAGTAAGGATTCAACCCAAAATGTGACAGGTCAAGACTACTGAGATCCTGATCAACTTCACCCCAGCTGGTTCATCAGGCAGAGATTCCATGTCAAAAGGGCACACTAAGATGCCCAAGAGCTGCCATACCACCAGAATTTACTAATACAGTAGCAAGAAAAGCATGCCATGCTCCCTGCACCCAGCCCTAGTCATGTGGCTCAGAGGTTCTGACCATAAGCAAAGGTCAGCAGATAAGAAGAATTCTGCATCTCTTTCTGAGGGGACTGATGTATTTAAAACAGAGCATGGAGAAGTTCATGTCTAAGGGCACTGCTGAAAACAATGGAGATCCTGGTAATGAGCAATTAAGAGGGAGTTGATAGCTCCATGATAATAGTAGCAATAAGGGAAACAGCAGACCAATCAGAAGGTTACCAAAGAGAACCAGGATAATAGCCAAGAAGAAAACCCCTGGGGTCACACTTATCTCTGGGGGTCCAGAAGACTGTGCACATGTGCCATTCGGCACCCATTCAGGCACAATCAGAGAAGGTGCTGGGGCAGACTAAAAAGCATTACCCAAGGCATACACAGATCTATCAGCAAAGAACCTTGAGCCCCTCATTTGGTCCAGGGGCTTAAACAGAACCTCTGACCAAACACCAACTGAAAATTAAACTAAGATCTAGGGAAGCCAGCTTAAAAATCAAATCGACCTCATACCGAGGGATCTAGGAGACTGTGCACATGGCCAAGACTATGCTTTCTTAGGCACGAGCAGAGAAAGAGTCTACAAGCTATTAGTCCCTGGCTGAATGCAAGGCAAAACCACAAACTCCCCAAACTATAAAACAGTCTCTAAACAAACACACATCCCACAGGAAAGGATGAAAAATCTAACTGGCTAAGTGAGCTTAAGCACAACCTTGGTCCAGTAAGTGAACTTGGATGCAGATGTAACTCCATAAGAAGCCATGAATAGATAAAAACAAGGGGAAAAATTCCAAGCAAGAATATTAGAGGCCACACAGTGTGGGGAAAATAAATTCCACCAAATCAGTCAAGCCAAGTGAAAAAAAAATGACTAAACAACAAAAACAATAAGCTCCAGAAAGAGGAGAAACAGTATCTAGACTTGCTACAATATGTTTTCCAAAATATCTAGTTTTAAACAAAACATTATAAGACATACAATTTAAAAATACGACCTACACAGAAGAAAAAGAGCAAAAGAAACTTCCTTTGAGGATACCCAAATGTTGCTCTTAATAGAAAAAGACTTCAAAGCAACTATTATATGTCCAAAGAGTTTTTTTAAATCATGTTTAAAAATTAAGGGAAGGTCTGATAACAATGACTCATTGTATGAAGAATATGAGCATATCAATTAGGAGAAAGAAATTATTAAAAAACAACAAATGGAATTTTGGAATTGAAAAGTACAATAACTGAAATAAAAAATTCAGCAGATTTGAGCAGGTAAAAGAAAGACGAAATTAACTTGAAAAGCAATAGAAACAATACAAATCTAAGTAACAGAAAAAAAATGAAGAAAAATAAACAGGGGCTCAGAAAAATTCAAGACACCATTAAGCACGCCAACATATACATAACGGGAGTACCAGACGGACAAATAGTCAAAGAAATGATGATCTTTAAACTCCCCAAATTTGATGAAAAACAATAATAATCTACACACCCAAGAAGCTCAATAAAATTAAACAGGATAAGCATTACAAAAGCTACATCCAGCCACATGATAAGCAAAAGTCATTGAACATCAAAGATGAAGAGAAAATCTTGAAAACAGTAAGAGAAATATGACTCATCACATAAAGGGGAATAACAATGACATTAACAGCTGACACCCCCTCAGAGTTCATGGAGTACAGAAGGCAAAAAGGACGTACTCAAAAATCTGTGAAATTTAGAATCCTTTATCTAGAAGAGCTGTCTGTCAAAATTGAGAATAAATAAATACATTCCCAGGTAAACAAAAAGTGAGAGAATATCTTGTTGGCTAGTCTGTCTTACAAGAAATACAAAAGGAGGTTCTTCATGCTAAAAGCAAGTTGCACTAGAGAATAATTTGAAGTCATATGAAAAAATAAAAGGTGCTAGTAAAGTAATTATGGAGGTAATTATAAAAGAAAGTATGATTATGTATTTCCTCTACTTCCTAAATTTATTTATAAAGCAATTGTATAAAAAACTTCTTAAGGTGTACTCTTGGGACATAACATTTGTAATATATTCGACAACAATAACACAAAGAAGTAGATGGGGTGGGAAAAAAATTGTAATTCAAGTAAGGAAATTATACCACATAGTACTTCAAATCTAAAAGAAGAAATGAAGTGAACCAAAAGTTATAAGAAGGTTAAAATTTTAAAAACACAATAAATATATTTGTGTTCTCTTTTTTTCTCTAATCTTCTTTAAAATACATAAGATTTTGCAAAGCAATAATTATAACCATGCATTATTGAGTTTTTAAACATATGTAGACATAGTAAGTATAATAATAATCACCCAAAAAGAAAAGAAAATGAAGCTATGAAGTAGTAAAGTTTTTATCTCTTCTAGAATAAAGTTAGTATATAAATCTGAAGCAAACTGTAATATATTAAGATGTATCTTATAAGCCGTAGAGTAACCACAAGGAAACTAACTCAAAGAAAATATAATCTGGCTGGGCGCAGTGGCTCACGCTTGTGATCCCAGATTTTGGGAGGCTGAGGCAGGCAGATCACCTGAGGTCAGGAGTTCAAGAGCAGACTGGCCAACATGGAGAAACCCCTTCTCTACTAAAAATACAAAAATTAGCCGGGTGTCATGGCGCAGGCCTGTAATACCAGCTATTCTGGATGTTGAGGCAAGAGAATCGCTTGAACCCA